CCTTTTTTTTTTTTTTTTTTGCCAGCATCAGATTCTTTTTTTAATCTTATAAGTCCTTCTTTAATTATCATAATACAGATTAACAGCCAGACTAACAGGCCAAAAAACATAAAGCACAGGACAATTATACTGAATCAGCGTACTCTTTTAGGTATATTGTCCATGTGGGATTGCAATAACTTTTCTCTCATTTTTTCTCTCATCTTTGTTTTATTCTGCACTTCACTTGTATGTTTTTATATATTAAATATTTAGTAATTAATTTAACAATCCAATATTACATATTTAAACTTTTGGATCTGATTTACTTTATGTAACATTATGGTCTCAAGGTGCACCTATTTTCCTACAAATGCCTCATTTATCCTTTTTAATAGCAGAGTAATATTCCATTATATATAAATACCACTTTTTCTTTCCATTCATCTGTTGATGTACATACAGGCTGCTTTCAAGATTTAGCTGAGTTAAATAGAACATCTATTTTTAGTTTTTTCAGGAATCTCCGTACTGATTCCCATAGTGGTTTTCCCAGTTTACACGTCCACCAACAGTGGAGAGGGGTTCCTTTTTCCCCTAGCAGCCTCTCTAGCATTTATTATTGGTTGATTTCTTGATGCCGGCCACTCTTTCTGAAGTGAGATGGAGTCTTAGTGTTGTTTTCATTTGCATCTCTCTAATGGCCAGAGATGTTGAAATATTTTTTCACGTATTGTATTTAGTGGCTGTTTGTAATTCTTCATCTCAGAAATGTCTGTTCATTTCAGATGCCCATTTAAAAAAATTGTGCCTTTAAGCTTGGTGAGTCCAATTTTAAAAACTCTATATAGTCTAGGCGTTAGTCCTTTGTCTGAGTAGAAGCTGGCAATTGTTTTGTCCCATTCTGTAGGTTGTCTCGCCACTTTGTTGGTGGTTTCCTTTAAGCCGTTTTGTTGATTCTTGGTATTATTTCTTGCACAACTGGGGTTCTTTTTAGAAATAAATGATTTCCGTGAAGGCGGAAAGACAGGAGCCTCCCAGGGCGGGGAGCCGGGAGGAGAGCTCACAGCTCTGTGGGGCTTGGTGCTGGGGTCTTAGACTCCAGGCTTTGGGGCAGGATCGAGGGTTTGCTCTGGGGTGCGTTTCCCCCTGTGAGCGGCTGACTCGGCCCCTCCGTGGGGCTCTTGGCTTTGTGAGGCCCTTGGAGGAGCTGTCATGGCGCCCGTGGCCCCCGGGGCCAAACCTGCGAGGTCAGGGATGCGGTGATCAGGGCAGGCGTCGCCCGGGGCTCGGAAGACCACCGTGCGCATGCGCGGGGCCCTCCTGCGCTAAGCTGGGCCACCGGGTGCTCCTCCCATGGTGCTTAGACCGGGGCTGCCTGGGCCGGGCCGACTTAACTCAGATGGTAGATCCAGTTCCCCAAATCTACTCCAAGGTGGGCCCCCCTTCTCTCCCAGCTGTCTTCTTAGGCCAAGAAAGGGTAGTTAGTAACCAGGCGAGCCATCCCCAAGTATATTTCCAAGAGGACCAACCGTTTAGCCCTTTCAGTCGGGATGCCTGATCTTTGAGAGTAAGTACAGCTTGTGAACACCTGAGCGGCTGGCATAGTAACCGCTTCGCTCTCTCACAGCCAGGCCGTGACCTCCCTGTACTGCACTTAGCACGTCTAGACTGCCTGTGGCTTTGAATCACCACTCCGGCTGGCGAACCAGTCTTTGAGGTGGTGGAGACCTGGGCAAGGCTGAAGGGAGCCTTGTCAGAAGCTGAGCTTTTCCTGACAGTTCTGTTAGATCGTTTTTAAATCTGTTCAGGCCAAACTTAGGATTTTGGCAGAGTCCTTTGTGATAGTTATCATCAGGCACCTGTGCATAAAAACTCTCTTATTATAACTTCTTGGCTCTGATCTGTCTTTTGGAGGGACTGATGCTAGCAACTCCTCTATGGTTTTGAGAGTTCTCATGTTTTTAGTTGTGTTTTTATCCTTTCTGTCTTCATGAAAGTTTTCCTGAAGGCACTGCTGTTTTATCACCCTTTTCATGGTCCTTTGTGCCTGAATACTGTTCTAGCTGTTGATTTCAGCTGGTCCCGTGTGGGAGCATCTGACAATTTAGAGTCAGTGCCATAGACATTTTTTCTTTTTTCTTTTTTTACTATATTTGAGTAACACCAAAGTTTGAAAGCCATAGCTCTTAGGCTAAGTTTACCTGGAGTCTATTGTTGAGTTTAATTTTGCCTGTTTTGTGGGTGATGGTCAACATTTTATAACATTAGGGGCCAGGCATGGTGGTACATGCCTGTAATCCCAGCACTCAGGAGACTGAGGCAGGAGGATCTCTGTGGGTTTGAGGCCAGCCTAGGATACATAGTGAGTTCAAGACCAGCCTGAACCGTATAGCAAAATCCTATCTCAAAAAAACCCAGACAAAAACAAACAAAAAAAACCCAAACATCCCAGAACTTTGGGCTGGATCTCTTTTCTGGGGCTTGTACTTTTGTAGTATTTTAAGACAATTATATTGCTCAAAAAGGGGTGACTATAGTACAAATTCAACCAGAGCAAGCCAAATTCAATTTGTATGACTGTTTTGAATCAGAAAATGATTTTTTGTTATATTAGTTTTATCAAAATAATTAAACCATTTTTAGTAACACTTGTTAGAGTTTTTCCCCATTAATCTGATTATAAAAATCTCAAAGAATCAGAACTGTGAATGACAAAAGACTTAGAATAATAGAAAGTTAGAATTTTGATGAGTTTAGCAATTGACAAGATAACGTACTCCTTTGTTTTATATGACAAGATAATACTCCTGACTGACAGCATTATATCAGGAGCAATGGGTTTTCTGTAGCCCTTAGATGACTAATAGCCAATCCTACTGATCATTAATATGACACTGAAATGTAACATATTAATATAGACCATAAACGTCCATCATTATGAACAGTTTTGTTTTATGAGGGCACCAATATTGTGTCTCTACTAGGTGTAATAAAAAAATATGGTGAATGCTGCTGCCATCCGAAGGAAAAGCAGCTCATAAAAACATGACACCATGTCCTCACCCATCTCACTCGCTGGATCGGGCACTGTGCCATTCCTGGCTCTTCTCCAGACTCAGCATAACTGTGAAAGGGAAATGCTTTGAATCGACTCAGGGCACCGAAGCCGCCATAACAGCACAATGAAAGACACTCCAGAGCTACTGCAGAAAGAGGTAAGAACGGTGGGGTAAGGTGTTCCAGAAGCGAGGGGGGAGGGTTTCCAGGGGGTTTATGGCTGTGGGAGACCGCAATATGGATTATGCCCCAAAGCAGGCTGTGAGCAGTGCAGGCTGTGAAGAGTGAACCCCACAATTAGCTGGTTTGGAGAAACGAGTCCAGCTGAAGCCTATGTGCGGAGGTCAGAAAAATTCACACCAAAATTCCATTCCCATAACTAAGACCTTCTCACTGGAAGGACAGTGTTGGAATTACAACCATATGTCTTATCTATTCTGCTCCTAATTGGAGAGTGCTTTGTCTCGCCCTTCACCAGCCTTGCTTGCGTTAATTTTCACAGAAACCACAGGACTGCTCATCCTCACACGTAGTTCTGCCCTTGCACGGAGCTCGCCTTTACCCACATCGATGACCAATAAAAATCAGCGGCTTGGACTGGCCAGTGCCTCTGCTGGTTGCACTGGCATTGGCCATCCTGGTGCCCCTGTTCCTGTCTCTCTTAGTTCTGTCTTTTAGGTTTTCTTTCTCAGGCCTGCGTCCTATACTGAGCAGGAGACTGGAGCCTACTACAGAGGTTTCCAGTAATGTTTCAGAGGTCCCCAGTGTGTAGCAGTGAATCTTTTACTGCAATACATTTTAAAAACTTATTCTTTTAATCACACTTTATTTAAATGCAAGAATTCGGTGGGGGCTGCAAAAAGCTCAGATCAAGGTCTTTCGGTCCTGTGTCCTTGCGGGCCTTATAGAGACTTCACTCCCCTTCTGAGGGCCTGAGTGCAGACTCCCACCTCACCACTCATTGGGGACAAGGGTGTGGCGAGCAAGGACAGCCGGGCACCTTGCTCCTGGTGGGGAGGTGCTTTGTCAATAGGTCGTCTGGGCTTCTGCAGCCGGACAGAGGCAGAGTGCATCACCTAACGGCTATCACTCTGTGCACAGAGATGTGAGTTGTGGATGAATGGGCATCCAGTCTGGGCTAACCCTGGGTGGGTGGAGGCACTGCTCGGGTATCAGTTCATAACTGCCAGCCACGTAGTTGGTGTAGGTGGAGAGCTGGGTTCCACCTAGGTTTGTCTCTCTGGACCGCTGGCCCCTGCCACTCTCCTAGCAGCATGGATAAAGCCTTGGGGATGTTGGCCCGGATTCCATTTGGCATCAGTTGCGTACCTGGGCCCTGTTGTGTACCCATCTGACTGCATTTCTCTCTGCTGGCTTCTAATTTCAGGGCTCATGGAAGCCCACCCGCTGGTTGCTCATTTTGTAGCAGTAAGAGCCGATGCTGGGTTTGTAGGGTTTCAAAGGACATCTCTTGTGCCTTCAGCCCTGCTGAAAACGCAGGAGGACACGAACAGATCTTGACTCCAGTGTTTCCGCTGGGGAGATAAAAGATCCCTCCATCTGGGCTGCTACAAATATGGTGAGCTTTTCTCATTGCAACTTTCACCAGCAATGGGAAAGGGAGCAGAGGAAGCCACAGTGGGTGTGAAGTAGGAGGAGTAGGGAGAACTGGGCTGAGCATTGGACCTTCTCACCAAGCCCTTCCCTAGCCCTGCCTCAGTAGGAAGGAGAAGACTTAGTGTTGGCAGGTTGTGCTTTTCCAGGACGATGGCACGGAGTTTCCCATGTGCATGCCCTTCCTGCATGTGGACCTGGCACGTCCACGGTGGGGTCCCACTCCCTGAGCCTGTCTGTGTGGACACAGAGGGAGTCTCTGGCGTTACCTCTCCCTGAACAGCTTGGCTTCTCACCCCATGGTAGTTGCTGTCCTTTAAGAAGGGGATCATATGGAGACGTCCGTGCTGTGGAGAGCCCTGGTCTTGGGCAAATCCCGGGGAACTGCAGACAGAGAGCAAACCCAGAGAGTGGAGGCACCCAGCATGTGTCTTCGTGACACACTGCCCCGGCGTTGCCCTCCCCACATTCTGGACCCACAGAATCGTGAGCAAAACAATAGTTCAAAGCCTCTGTGTTCAGTGTGGAATTCTATGCAGCAGTGCATTCCTGGGACATTCAATCTTGATGGGGCTCTCATCCAGCCGGGGCAGGGCTAGGCAGTAGGCAAAGTTGCCCCCTAGAATGGTGAAGGATGATTTCAGTAGCTCTCCAGGTGAAGAGGCCGAAAGGTGTCTGACAGGAAGCGGTGAGGGTGGCCGTTCCCTGGGCAACATGGCTGAGCTCTTGGGTGTCTCTTTTAATGTGTGTCAGAAGCTCAACATTCTGTCATCATTCAGCACCTTTGCCTCAACCGCACACCTACCAGGTAAGCTGAGATCAGTGGGGACAAACCCAGGCAACCTGGCCCTGGGTGACTCAGACGGCGCATCTGGCCCCAAGGACTCCCCCATGTGTCCCGGGAGGGCATCAGGTTTGCATGGGGCACTCAGAGTGGAGATCACAGCCTAGACCTCAGCTGTTCCCTCAAGAGCTTCGCCATGTGGATCCTCTCCGCTATCTCCCTGGAGGATGCTCTGGGATTCTCAGCAGAGCAACAAAGTAGGACCAAGGAGGTGGCCCGGCTGTGTCACAGGATAAGTTCTTCCCGAGTCCGAGGGGATGAGCTGAGGTGAGAGTCCCTCGGACCTTGAGCCACCCTTCTCCCTGGAGAAGTAAGGAGGTGTGTTGAGGGATTCAGCCCTGACTCCTTTGGCTCCTTCTCTGTGGTCATCCCGTGAGCCCTGAGTCCGCCTGACCCCCTGAAGTGGATTTTTCTATCTGGATGAGAAGGAATGGCTGAATGTGGTCCCACCTTTCCCTAGCAACCAGTGACTTCCCCCGGTGCTCCTCACTGTTGGCTGAATCTTCTTGTCTTCCAGGGGACCGAGAGCCCCTCCTCTGTGCAGTCCTAGTGAGCACTTCCTCGAGACACAGCATTCACACACTTGGCGCTTAATCCAGAGTCTTCTTAGCCAGCGCGTTCATCCTGATCGTCATCGTGCTGCTTCTGGGGCCCCAGTTAGCCGCCCTCCCCACCCCTGGCCATGATGTGTCCCAGCCTTTTCTCCTTCAGTGCCGTATGGACAATGAGAGAGCTCCTGAAGTTAGGTCTCCTGAAAACATTTACCTTCTCCACTGTCTTTCAGAGTCATCTCTTGTTGGTTCTGGCAAATGCTTCAGACGGACTCAGGAAAACGGAGGCCGTAATAATATGTGCCCATTTGTGTGTTGTAAATATCCCACCATGACCCATTTTCAGCTGCCAGCTTGCGGCCACTGAATCTGGAGCCAGGAGGGGTTGTGTGACAGCTCTCCCCTGCGTATCTCCACCTCCCGGGTACCACAGGCGTCCGTGGTCCAAGGACGTAGTAGAGAATATGGTGGAATGGCATGGAAGGAATGGATTTTGAGTACTTTTCAAACTTGTTTTTCATGGATTTAATGGTGCATTTATAAAACTTTGTTTTAAATTATGGCCATGTTTTGCACTGAGCCTGGAGTCTTCCTGGAGGTGTAGCTCTGGGCTGCTGAGAGTGGGTCCAAGCCCACCGTAGCTCGGCTCGGCTGGAGCCCCACAGCTCTTGGCTGCTGGTCCGTCTGGGGTACAGTGCAGGGCTCCCTGGAGGCCGGGCTCTGGGATTCCCTTCCCCGGTGATCACTCAGAGCTCTCCGCGAGGCCTTTCCAGGGCTTAGGGAAGGACAGCATGGGGTGGGCCCCGCTCACCAACTCTCAATTGCCTTGAGGCCTGCCCCGGTGTGGCCTGAGGTGGATGCAGTGGCCTTTCCGTGTCCTGCTTGAGGGACAGCTGTGAGAGCGACCACCAGGGTCTCGTGTCAGTGGAGTGGCCCAGCCGAGGAGGTCACTGACGCCATCGCTAGCCAGGGCGCTGCTCCTCCTGGCCTCAGTGTCGTGGCTGTGACACTCGTTCCCCTGTCCCCTCCAGCATGAGCCCCGTCACCCTGTCCCCGTGGTGGGCGGTATGATGGCTGGTGCTGGTTCGGGCTTCTTCCTCTTGATACCTCTCAGGCTGTGTACTGTGTAACTGGCAGCAACACTTTCAATGCACTGTTAGGATTGTATGGTTACAAATTGCACTTTGCAGTGGAATTTTGGGCTCAATTTTTAATCCGAGTCTTGGTTTTCTCAGCTAGAAAATAGGAGGCTTCAGGACTTTAAAGCTTAGATAAGAGAACACCCTGCACCCAGATCTAAGGAGCCAGTGAGTGGTCGTGGCCTTCAGGGGAGGAGTTAATCCGTTCATCACAAGTCTATAATAGTGGAAAACAATGTTCTTTTGAGACTGATCTTGTGGGGGAGAAGTTGGAAATGAGACCTAAACTCTTTCTTGACTGTGGCCTCCAGCAAGCCCGGTCTGTCCTCAGTTTACCCAGATGTGGTGGGGACCAGCAGGGGTTTGAGGAGCTAGGCTTTTCCGGTCTTGTCTTTAGGATGGATTCCTGTGACATCGGGGCACAGGGAGACAGAGCCGGGTCTGGGAAAAGCCTCCTCTGGGGTGGAAGTTAGCCTTCAAATCTTCCCTTTGGAGATGATTTCAGATTTTAGAGAGATAGAGGGGAAAAAATACCCATGAAGCTGGAATTTAGAAAAACTGTAACACAAGCAACCAGTGGGAAGACAAAAATAATGTATTTATTTATAAGAGAAGGATGATCACACTATGCAGTCACAGCTGTAAAAGGATGTGTGAGTTTGTGTTGGGTGAGGACAGCAGAGGTGGGGTTCCAGGAGGCTTTAGCACTGGCAGGAGTTGCTGCTCAGAGTCCCTCCCCATTGGCTCTTCCCAGTCCTACTGGGCGTGGTGTCCACCCCTCCTATGGGTCCTGCCATGCGTGAGTGTGAAAGCCCAGTATTCGGGTCAGGGGGGCGTGTCTTGCCTTGGGGTTGGAGCACATCCTCCTGGTTGTACGTACCAGGGCCATAGTAAAGAGCAACGATTAGACAAGAGCTCTTTAAATAATGTAAACTAATGAATCTCCCAGAAATCCCCTTAAGGGCAAGTGACAGTGTAAGCAGTGTGGTGTGTTTTGTCAAAATGTCAAGACACTTTGGTGGAATAAACAGATGTGTTGTAGATGAAAGGCAGCACCGAATAATAATTCCCAGCCGGCAGCGTGAGATTTTCATAGTATAATACAATTCTGAGAGCAATAGTAGGAGTTTCTGTGGCTGCTGTAGTTGCCTGAATAGCAAACTCTGAATGTTCCATTCACCCCCGCCTCCACCCAGCTACCCATCCACCGACTCCTTCACCCACCTATCCGTACACCCGCCCAGTCACTCCTTCACCCACCTATCCACTGGTCCGTCTGCCCATCCGTCCATCATTCACTCGTTCATCTACCTGTCACTCAACCGTCCACCCGCCCGTCTACCCACTCAACAGTCCACCCATCTACACACCACCCACTCATCCCCTTAGCCACTCATTTATCCACGTACCCACGCCCCTGCTCACTCATTTGCCCAGCTCCCTGCCCACCTACCCATCCAATGAATAAGCACTGAGCAAAGTGCGCAGCATCACAAAAGATGCCTGGGACACAGATGAATGAGACAGTCGAGAACTCTGTCGCCTATGGGGACGACAGACGAGCAGGCACGCAGAGCCGTGTTAGCTTACTCTTCGCTGCACACCTAGTCTTGGAAGCTCACTGGTGTGGAGGGTCAGGGAAGGGTATCCGAGCTCCTTGGACGGCTCTAGAGTCATGTCCCAGGAAGAAGGAGCACTATGTTGAAGGTCTGCCAGGCCTGTGCCTGTCTAGAAGTGGAGCCGTTGGGTCAGGGGGGCTGGAGAGGAGCCGAGAGTGGAGCTTAGTGGTTCTCAGAGGGGTTGGGGCTGAGTGCTGTGTCGTAGCCTCTCTCCCTGTGCTCCAAGGACGGGCGGAGGCTCCCAGGGTCTGCCTTAGATGATGAGCTTCTCCTGGGGCCTTGCTTCCAGGAAAAAGCTTCTGCAGATGAGTGTGGAAATCACTGCCATGGATGAAGCCCCCCCCATTTTTTCCCGTACTCGGGATTGAGACCTTTTTAAATTTTGTTTTCTTTTTTTGATACTGGGGATCGAACTCGGGTCCTTGCACTTGTGAGGCAGGTGGTGGAGCCACTGAGCTAAATCCCTGGACTGCTTTTTAAATTTAAATTTTAAAACTGGGTCTTGCTAAGTTGCTGAGTTGCCTAGGCTCGGTTCAAACTTGGGATCCTCCTGCCTATGCCTCCCAGAGTGATGGGATTGCCTGGCTCCAGGTACATTTTTGACCGGGAGTTGCAGGAGGCAGGCCCTGTGGGGCTGCACACGGAGCTCTGCAACAGTCAGCAAGAAGCAGTGCTGGGGACCTCCCTTCCGGGGGTCTCTGCATGTTTTTGTTCACTGGATGAGTGTTGAGTGGGACAGACACTCAGGTACCAGGGCACGCAGGAGACAGGTGCAAGGGAGACGCTGGGTGGACTCTCATGAGGCAAGGGAGTGGGTGGCCGTGGTGTCCTGGGTTTGGTCTCAGCAACCATCCGCTTCTGGGGAAAGATTTAGCCCTGGTGGATTTTTCTGTGGCCCTTTTGGTCACGCTACAGCATAAGGTGACTCACGCGCCATCTTAAAGGCTGGATCCTTTGTGCCTACCTGGACGGGGATGGCAGGCTAAGCTCTTGGCTTTGAGGTTTCTCCAGGGTTAGGACAGGAGCCGAGACACCAGGATCCTGCAACACCAATGCATACAAAAGGGAACACTGGGCACTGAGAACGCTTAAGGGTGACTGGCTGATCCTGGCACTGGGCTTTACCGTGAGTTATCAAACATTTTGTTTGAAGACTCTGTTGTCGGAGTTGGGGGAGAGTCCTGGGTGTGTGGCTTGGAAGAGTCCCTATCCCTCTCAGGTCCTCCCTTGATTTCTCTCTGCTTCCTGGGCCTCGGGCCCTTGAATGCCCTCCTCTGCCCAGCCCTTCCGCCCTCCCAGCTGACTGTGGACTGCATCCTCCACACACCCTGAGCCAACGTCAACCTTTCTGTAAGTTGTGGGCGTCTGGTATTGTGTCTCAGTGACAAGGAAAGCGACTAAGACACAAATCAAAGACACTGTCCCTGGGCCCCATGGCGTGCTGGTGGGGCCAGGGGTGGCACATGGAAAACAGCTTGTGCTCCCACCTGTGGCCAAAATGTCAGCTTCTTTGGAGAGACACACGTGAAGAAGAGAGCAAGGCCATATCAAATTTTTTTATTTGTTCCAGTCAAAAAAAGAGAGGAACACCTCAATATGTAAACAGTTTCCCTCACACAGCGAGTTCTTATATGTATTTTTTTATTCTAAAAAAATTTGGCATTGTAGTGATTTCTCAATACATAATTTGTGCTTTCGCATTGAGCATGCTTTCGTCTTGTCCGTGCACAGACACATTTGGAGTGAAGGAGAGGGACTCATGAAAGGACTGGAAGGAAGGTCAGGAGCCAAACCAGTACTGGAGCTCGACCTGGCTCTCTTTTTTAAGAAGCGTGGTGGGCAGGTTAGCAATAAGGACCTCAGAAGCAAATCTTAGTTTCTCAATCATGAAGAAAGGTCAGAAGCCTTGGCTGGATTTTTTGAAAGATGCAGTTTGTTTTTCTATTCATCTCTTAAGGGTCATTGGTTCTGCTCAGAGAAAACTGCGTTATAGATTGCATTTTCCAGCATCTATGCATCTCTCCTACAACCACTCTGATTATGATGTTGCTGGACATGTAGTGTATTTCTGCACACCACTGAAATTTCCCTAAATTTTTTTCTCGTTTTTCAGGGATTCACCGAATCATTTCAGAATGCCTGACAATTGTGTCAGAGGACATTTTGGTTTTGTTCAGTGAAAAGTGTTATTTTCATTGAATCTTAAAGATTAAAGAGTGTTTTGAGCACTGTGGTAGTTTTATTAATAGATTCTTGGATGATATTCCTTCCCTAGTCCGTGTTCCTTAGCCTGAAGTTCCAGGTGTTCTGCAAGTTAGCACCAGTTTTCCAAATGCAGGTTTTATGAAACCCTGCAGTAAGCTTCCCACCCTATAGGTTGGCCTGGGCACCATCCCCTGAGTGTCTGTCTTTGGACCACTCCCATGCTGGGCCCTCAGCCGGAAGTGCCTTCCCCTTGGGTCTCTCTCTTCCAAAGCCCACCTGGCTGGAAGTGATGCCCCTTCCTTCCCCACAATGCCATCTGCTACTCCTTACCCAGAAGCCTGTTTGCTTTCTGTCAGTCCCAGCACGTCTGCAATACTCACCCCTCTGGATTGGGCCACCTCATTCCTAACATAGACCCAGGTTCTCTTTGTGTGAAATGGAATCAGTGCTTGTTCACAAGGCTTCGTGTGGTTCTAGTGCACTCAGAACAGTGGTGTGACGTTGTGAGAGGTGGCGGCCATGGGCTTGTTGAGGACGTGGACAGGACATCAGTCTCTCAGAGTCGTCACAGCCTCTGCCTAGGGCATCACTCCCTGCATTGGAAGGGTTCACTGAGTGTGGGCAACATTCAGTCAAGTGCGTGCATGTTTGGGACACTAATATTAGGAGTGTCAGGTGTCTTTCTGAGTACATTGGTTTTTTCCTGGTCTAGTTTAAGTTGGCTGCTAGGCTCCCTGGGGTACAAAAATAAAAATGTCTGCCAGTGTCCTGCATTGGTGACCTTCCTGCTACCTTGGGAACTAGACACTATTTCTCTGCAGGATGTAAGCAGTTAATCAAAAACTCAAGTTCTCAAGTCTTAGCTTTTTTTCCTTTTTCCTCCTTAACGTTTATGTTCTCTGGGAGTGGACACTAGGGTTAGCACCTCCACAGGCCCCTCAGTGACACCCCCAGACCAATGGCCCCTTCTGTGGCTGCCGGACTCTGCTCTGAGTTGGGTGGGATGGGTCAGAGTGAGAAATTTCACGTTTACAACCGTGCAACCTCCAGATGAGATTTCTTCTCAGCCTCAGCGTCACAGATTCACATTTAACAAGACTAGCGAAACTTTGGCACTGCTGTGGACTTTAGTACTAGTAAACGTCCCAGAATAATTTTCTTTCTATTTTAGGAAATAGGTCCTATATTTTACTAGGCCCTAGCAAACATTTTGGGCGTTGATACTGTATGTTGTTATTTTATTGGGAAATACAAAATTATCTTTCAATTAATTATTTTTCAATTGATAGGAGGAAAATAGCCACTAAATCCCACTATTGGCCTATGACTAAAATAAAGCAGAAAAGAGTGATATCTGTCAAAAGAATGATATGGCCAAAATAAAGTAGTTGGCTTAAAATGTTACTATACTTTAAGCTTTTTGCTTCCTTAATTATGTTCTATTTGCTTTAGTATGTATGTTTTTGCCTAGGGTCCTGGATGCATGTTTCAGGGAGAAGAGCATTAGGTTTAGGTTAGAAACAAGGCCCCAGAAATGCCAGGCTCAGTGTGGTGGTACATGCCTGTAATCCCAGCATTTAGGAGACTGAGGCAGGAGGATTGTCAGTGTGAGGCCAGCCTGTGCTACATAGCAAGCTCAAGGCTACCTGGACTGTATAACAAGACTCAGTCTCAAGAAATAAACGCAACAACAAAACAAAACAAGACAAAAGGAAACACCCAACTTGCAATAACCCGTGGGTGCTTGGTGGATAAACCTCAAGGGTTAGCTGTGCAATTATTTTCTGTCAATGATTCTGACCTTCACTGAGGCGTTTCTCCCACACAGAGGAGCCCACAGTGCTTGTCTAGTAATGCTTTATCTATCTAGGGGCATCTTCCTCATTTGGCATCTCTCTGCCAGGTGTGGTGGTGGGAGAGCAAGGAGAAGGGTGTGCTCGGCAAGGGGCTGCTGGAGACAAGTGTATGGTTGGCAGGTGAATTTCATGGCTCCCAGCTGAGGAATCAGGGAAACAATAAGAAGGGAAAGACATAAAAACTCAGCTGGGGCTGCTTGAGGTAAGAGTGGTGTGGACTTGAACTGATGATGATGATGTGGATTGGAGCGTATGTCAGAGTCACAGAAACAGAGCCTGTGGGGCCCAGATGCCTGCCGAGCAAGACAAAGAAACTAACAGCAGGGAAAACTAAGGTTCTTCTCAAATCCAAGGGACACTCATCAAGGAACGCTACATTCTGGGCCATAAAACACACTTTAACACCTTTATAGTACAGAAATCCTACAGGGTCTGCCCCTAGATTAATTCAGCTAGAAATCAGTAATAGAAAGATAGCTGAAAAAAATCTTTACATTATGAGAGATTAAATGGCACACTTTTAAATGCTGTGTGGTCAATGAAGAAATCGCAAGAGAAATTTAAAAATATTTTGAGGTAAATGAAGATACAGCTTGCACAGAGAAGGCTGTCCTTAGAGGGGAATTTAAAGTATTGAATGAGTGTGTGAGAAGAGATGATCAGAAATTGATCATCTGGGCTTGCATCTCAGGAAAAGAAGAGCAAATTAAATTCAGAGTGAGCAGATGGAAAGAAAGAAAAATTAGAGCAGTGATCATTGAAGTTAAAGATAGGAATTTCATTAAAAATCAATGGAACAGGGGCTGGGGATTTAGCTCAATGGCACCACACCTGCCTCACAAGCGCAAGGTCCTGAGTTTGATCTCCAGTACTGCACCAAAAAACAAAAACAAAAACAAACAAACAAACATCAGTGGAAACAAAGTTATTCTTTCAAAAGATCACTGAGAAGGTTCAGGATTTAGCTCAGTGGTATCTGCTTGTACTCACAAAGCCTTGAGTTTGATTCCTGGCACTGAAAAAAAAAACAATTGGAGGGAGAGAGGGAGGGACACTGATAGGATAATGAGGGAAAGTTTTGAACAGCCCTTTGTCTATCAGTTTGCTAACCTAGGTGAGATAGAGGAGTCCTTGAAAGATATCATCTTCCAAAACTAATACCAGAGGATTAAATAACCTGATCAGGCCTATGTTTATAAAAAACTGGAGCAAATGATTAATAACTTTCCCAAACAAAAAGCACTAGACCCAGATAGGTTCACTAGTGAATTCTACCTAACATTTAAGGAAGAAATTATACATATTCTTTACAATCTCTTTCAGAGGACAAGGGCAGAGGGAATACTTTGAAACTCATTCTGGGAGTTCAGGATCACATTAATACCAAAACCAGATGAAGATATTATAAGAAAAGAAAACTTCAGATCAATATCCCTCATGAATGCAGACACAGAAATCCTCAACATGTTTACGAATTGAGTCTAACAAAGTACCGAAATATGCAGCACCATCAAGTGGGATTTATTCCAGGTAAATAAGACTGGTTTAACATTCAAAAACTAATTACTGCAATCCACATTAACAGACTAAAGAAGAAAAATCGTGATCACATCAACAGATGCAGAAAAATAATTTGATAAATCCAAATAATGATTCATGTTAAAAAATCCTCAATAAACTAGGAATAATGGAGAATTCCACTACTTCATAAGTTATATTCACAAAATGTTTTTTTTTTTGCTATATCATACTCAAAAGTGAGAAACTCAAAACTTTCTCACTAGGATCAGGAACAAAGCAGAGATCTCTTCTCACCATTACTTTCCTTTCTTCTTTCTTTTCTTCTCTCTCTCTCTTTTTTTAGATAGGTTCTCACCACCTCTCCCAGGCTGACCTTGAACTTGTACTCATCGCATCTCAGCCTCCTGTGTAGCTGGATTTACAGGCTTGTGCCACTGTGCCCGGTTCAGCACTGCTTTTCAGCGTGATACGGGAAATACTGGATAATGAAATACGACATGAAAAGGAAATGAAAGGTGTACTGATTGGGAAAAAAGAAACAGAACCTTGTTTGCAGATGATGTGATTCTTTATATAGAAAATCTGAAAGAACTGACGAAACTCTCCTATTTTAAAAATAATCCATTATAGTAAGGGTACAAGGTACGAGATTAATATGCAAAAGACAATTGCTTTCCTATATACCATCTATGAACAGTGGAATTTGAAATTAAAAGCACATTACCATTTAAATTAGCAACTCAAAGAGTCAAATGCTTATGTATAAATCTAACAAAACGTACAAGATCTATATGAGGAAATATACAAACCTCTGATGAAAAATACTAGGAAGAACTAAACAAGTAGAGATATATTCCGTGTACACAGGAAAGAAGTCTCAGTTTTGTCTAGTACTTTATCCTTCCAACTTGATCTACAGATTCATTACATTAGCAGTCGAACACCCTGAAGGTTATTTTATAATACAAACTCATTCTAAAGTTTGTAAGAAGAAACAGAAGACCCAGAAGTGACAACTCACTTTTAAGGAGCCTCACAAGATCAGAAGACTGACAGCACTAGGCCCCAAGAGTGAGTATAAGTTCACAGTAATTAAGACAATATAGTATTGGGAAAAAAATGAGGAAATAAACAAAAAGGAGCGAATCAAGAGCCCATAAGTAGATTCACATAAATACAGATGGCTGAACTTTGACAAAGGAGAAAAGAATCTTTTCAACCAACGGTGTTGGAACAATTGCACATCTGCATAAGGAAAAAAAGGAATCTAAACATGGACTTTAAACTCTTCTCAAAGACTGACTACATAAAATGTAAAATTATAACTCTAGCAGCTGATAGAAGAGAAAACTTAGAGAATCTTGAGTATGGTAGTGACTTTTTAGATACAACATCAAGGGCATGATCCATGAATGAGTGGTTGGTAAACTGGGTTTAACTAAATCAATAAACTTACCCGCAAAAAATAATGTCAGAGAATGAGAAGAAAAACCACAAGACTGGAAGAAAATATTTGTGAAAGATACGTCCGATAAAGCACTATTATCCAGAATATAAAGAGAGCTTTTAAAATTCAACAACAAGAGCACAAACCACCTAATTATAACGTGGACAAAAGACCAGGATAGACAGCGTTGCCAGAAAGGATACAGAAATGGAAAGTAAGCATGGGAAAAGATGTTTAACATCATATATATTAGCAGCAGATTAAAACCGCAAAGAAACATGACCGCACACCTATTAGAATGGCCAAAATCCGAAACTCTGACAACACCGAATGCGGGCGAGGGTGTGGGAAACAGCAGCTCTCACTCGTGGCTGGCGGAGTCTAAATGCCCGACCCCTCTGAGAGGCAGTTTGGCAGTTGCCTAGAAGTGTAGTCATACCATACACTGGCACAATAGTGTTGCTTGGTTTTTGCCTAAATGAACTGAAAAACTGTGCATACGAAAACCTACACAGATGTTAAGAGGAGCTTTATTTATAATTGCCAAAAACTTTAGTGAACAGGTAAGCTGTGTTTCGTCCAGGAAATGACATATTGTTCAGTGCTAAAAAAATAAAAGCGTGACCAAGCCCTGAAAAGAGAGAGGTGAAAGAATCTGATTTGAAAGGGCTGTACAGTGTGTGATTCCAATGATCTGATACTCTGAAAAAGGCAGAACTGGCGGCTGGGGAAGGGTTTCAGTGGACGCCAGCGCTAGCGTCAGGCAGGGCTGAGCAGAGCACGGGGCACTTTTAGGGCCACAGAACCACTCTGTATGAAACTGCGATGGATCCGTGTCACTGGACATTTGCACAAACACACAGAATGTACCACCCCAAGGGTGAGCGAATTCATCACCTGTAATGGACACACCGCTGTGGTGTGACGTGTCTTTAACGGGGCACACAGAAACACTGTGCTTTTTGCTTAGTTTGCTGTGAACCCAAAGTTTCTCTATAAAATAGCATCTATCAATTAAAAGAAAAAGAAGAGGAGAAAATGATCCAAAGCAGTCCAGTGAATTACCCAGAACCCCACAGCTCGTCTGGGGTGAGTCCAGGGTTCCCACAGAGCTTAGAGAGAAAGGCTGTTCTATGGCCCATGGGAGGAAAGTGTCCAGTATGATTAAAGAAGAATACTGAATACCACGGTGATGGCAGGGGAAACATGATTGTCACTCTTAAGGCTTGAGTTTCCTGGGAATTTACTTATGAGAACCAACTCATAGCTGACTGGAAAGAAGTGTGTATACGAGTGTGTGTGTGTGTGCGTGCGCGTGCGTGTGTGTGCGCGTGCATGCGCACATGGGAAGGCAGAGTTTTATTTTTTTGTGAGTTAATGGGAACAGGGGTCTGAGAATGCCATCACCTTGCTGTGTACCAGGGGGACAGGTCTGGAGGCGCCAGCAGGCAGGAATCGCGCAATCTTAGGCCAGCTGTAACACAACTGGAAAATGAGCTGGCAGAAAAGCCCCGCCATGGCTGTCTAGGTGGTGCATCTCTCCTCTCTCCTCTCTGCAGAGCTCTTCCTGGTCAGCAGGGTTTACTTCTGCTCTGTCCAGGGGCCGGACCGAATCCAGCTTTGAAAGGATCAGTGCTCAGTTCTACTCCTTCCAGGCTGGTATAAATGGATCTGTTCTCAGGATCAAAGCCAGATGGAAAATGAGAAGTCCAGGGAGACACAGCTGTCTGGGAGCACTGCATCCTGGAGATAAAATGAGTTGCCTTTGACTTGAAATCAGGTTTTCTAAAAGAATTTACATGTGAAAATTTGAAGTGCTTTTATTTATCCTTGGGCTTATTATGGAAACTCTGTTTTGGGCCATTCTTAATATTTTGTGGGCTGAGTTTACTTAATGATTAAGAATATGGCAGTTCTGTGGACATTTGTTACTTTAGAGAATGTGAATGTGTTTTGGGAGTTTTTTAAAAAAGCAATGCTGGGGTGTGTGTGGGAAGGATGTTTAGAAAATAGCTTTTCAGAAATCAACATGGCTATTATTAAGTTCAAGGCATCCTAAGCAGGCACAGAATGCTTGCGGGGGCCCTGGACCCTGTCCCCTTGGCTTCCCCCAAGGCCGTCTGTAGGTGGAGCATCCCTGGAGCCTCAGCCCCCAGCAGCCTCCAGCCTGCACAAGAGTGATCCTGGCCCACAGGCTGGGGGTTGCCATGGCAGCAGCCACCGCACCTCCTGGGTTACCTGTGATCACCAGGCGTTTCCCCCAGAGCAAGAGCACGGCCTGTGCAGACTACGGGGGAGGAAGGATCATTGTACCAACGCAGGCAGGTATCTGGGTCACTTCAGAACCCTGTGCATGTTGTTGCCGGGTGGCCACTGCTCCAGAATGAAATGAACCCTCAAGGGAAGCGCCAGGAAAGATCAAATGTTGGTGGCGAGATGAGCAGGGAGGTGAAGAAAGGGCAGAGGGGGAAAATGCTTGCGTGAGCATCTGCTGCCCTGAGAAAAGCCGCGTAGGTCCCCGGGGCAGCCTAATCGCGTCCCTGGTGTCTCAATCCGGGTGGGGGCCCTGTGAGTTCGGGTGGGACACTTGCCTTGCTGTTTGCGTTCGGCGACCCTCTCGGGGGGAAAGTGAGGACAAGATTTTTATTGATTGTGGGGTGGGTTCAGACAGACCAAATCATCAGACTTTCTTAAAAAGTGGGGACAGGTGCAGAAGTGTGGCCTGGGGACCGCCTGAGCCTGTCATTATGATACCCCAGGGTGAGAGTTTCTAGAGGGGCAAAGAAGTAGGTATCGGTAGAAAAAACCCCACAGAAATACTTTGAATTGTAATGGGAAAATCAGTTGTTTCGGGATTTCCGTAAGTCTGTTTTGGCTTTAGCATTACCTTTCTTGGATGTACACGTGGGTGGGTGCCCCTGGTGTTAATGGAGACTACAGGTTGGGGTCAGCAGTCACCACAGGGCCCACTGGGTGCTGGCTGATGTCAGCTTACACACAGAGTTCCCGGTACTCAGTTTCCTGGGTTCACTGTCCAGTGGGCAGGAGCCAGAACCCGGCACTCCCGCACGGCCTCAGCGGTGGGCACGGTTAACGCCCTGGGCCTGCCTGAGGCTGAGGAAGGGCATCACTTGCGCCCGCTCCCAGAAGCAGGACTGCGAAGAGGCGATGCCAGGCTGGAGTCTGTCACGGCAGATCTCACCGTGGACCTTCCCTCCTCCGGGAAGAGTCTGCAGACCCCGGGGACTCCCATCGATGCCTTCTGAGTTATGTTTTTGCGGTGACAGACCTCGCCCTGAGACACAGCCTGGACCAGGGACTGAGTCGCCAAAAGTCTCATCGTATGCTCTGGGGATAGCTCGCTCTTGCCTTATATGGTTCCTAGTAAGATTTTAGAAGCGATGATGAATCACACGTTTATTTCACTAGTGTTGGTTGGTAGTGGGTATTTATACTGCCTGAGAAGAACAGCCCTTCTTATTCTTAGAAAGATTGGCTAAGGTGACATCACAGCATTTACGATCGGTGTGAATATAGTGGGTGCTGAGCCTTAGTCTTGAGATGCTCAGCCAAGCTCTGACAGTGAGAACTGTTGACACTTTCGTCCTCTGGAAGTGATACCTGTGTAGTCCTGATTCTCCGTCCAACCACGTGACACGCTAGGACTCAGGTCTGGAGAACAGCGTCTAAAAGTGGCCTCCAGATACACTCGTCGGTAGTGATAAACCTCCACCACTTAATCATGCCAAGGAGCTATTCTTGTGTGTTGGGAAGGTATTTTACCTTCCTTTCCTTTGTACTTCTACTGGAATTAGGTGGATGCAGGCAGCTTTGTTTGGCCAAGGCCATGAGGCCAAGTAAAGTTTGGCTCCTTTTATATTTATTTAAGTTTTATGGTGTTGAACTTTGAAATTTGTTTCCTCCCACTTTGTGGTTCTGCTCTCTTCCATGGGGGTGAAGGCTCCCAAGCTTTTGCATGGTCTACTTCCAAGACACCCTCGTCTGCTTAGTTTTATTTTTTTGGGGGGGTTGGGGGTTTGAGACAGGGTCTCACTATGTAGTTGACGCAGCCCTGGAACTCACTATGTAGCCCAGGCTGGTCTTGAACTCATAGCAATTGTCCTGTCTCAGCCTCCCGAGTGCTGGGATTACGGGCGTGCTTCACCACGCCCAGCTCATTTTAGTTTTAGACACAGGGCCAAGTCCACCCTCGATCTGCGACAACACACACAAGGATTCACTGCAAAATATTTTTTTTCCCCCTAATTTCCAGGGAAGTGCCCATAAGAGAACTTGCTATGCCTTTCACTAGAACTAATAAGATAAAGAACTGGACTCAACCGGCTGTGTCTGGCATTAGAAATGCTTTCTTAGAACGCAAGCGACTTCAAGTTATTCACACGCCTGTCACTTCGTATGGAGGTATCCACAGACCCATGGTCCGGATCCCATCCGTCCACCATCTCCACGGTTAACAGCTGTTACCTTGTGCTTCACAGAAGGCGACACACAGTCCAGCAAGCCTTGCGGGCTTCTCTTCTCGCAGAGCTCTTGGCAGAGCGCCTTTGGGGTTTCCGAGCGAAGTTCATTCCGGATTCGCACACTGGACCTCTAGCTGAGTGGCTGGAGGCTGGACCGCGAACTCACAGGCGAGCTGTTCCAGGCCATCTTCCCCACATGCAACACCTGTGAGCTGTAGGCTAGAGGAAACGGGCAAGGAAGCAGAGACATCTCGGGGACGTAGTGAGTCCTCCAGAGAGCGACTGGCAGAGGCCTCAGTGGGGAGGGGAGGGGACGGAGTGGGTTCGAGACAGGACCAGGGGCCTCCTGAGAGGGAAAGGAAGCCTTCTTTCTGAGCCCCGCCCTAGGCCCGTGAAGCAGGTGCGCTTTTATCAGAAACTTCGTTCTGTTTTCTTGAAACAGATTTAGGAGTGGCTCTGATAGATTTAGCCCAGAAGAGTGTCACTCTTCCAAGATTCCTAGGAGCTTTTTTTTTGGGTACCGGGGATCAAATTTGGGACCTCGCACTTGCAAGGCAGGTGGAGGAACTACTGAGTTAAATCCCTGGCCCCAGGAGCCTCTTAAGAGTATGATACAGGGCTGGGGATTTAGCTCAGCGGTTCGGTTGCCTGTTTTGTAAGCGGAAGGACCCAAGTTCAATCCCCGGTACCAAACAACAACAACAACAACAACAACAAAAAACAAAAACCGATACAATCCCCAGTAGTACCATCAGTACCATTAGTTACTCAGAGTTAATACTCCTTAATACTACAGTACAGGGGTTGGGAGGAGCTTTTCCTGTAAGGAGCCAGCTAGTAAACATGTATGTCCCTGCTGCAGTTACTAAGCTCTGCTAGTGGAGATTGAAAGCAGCCACGGGCAAAACAAATCCCTGGGCTGGCTGTGCTCAAATCAGACTTCATCTGTGGACCCTGGAATTAAAATTTCACACGATTTTCCCATGTCACAGAATAGTCTTTGTTTCCCCGCAACCATTTCTAAATGTAAACATCAGTCTTAGCTCACAAATGGTGCTGGAACAGGCAGCAGGGTAATTTCTTGTTTACAGACTCGGTCTGCCCAGCTTTTTTTTTGGTAATAAAAAGAGCCCCTGGCTTACAGCTTTGTGATATGGATTCGGGACCAGGATCTGTGATTTTCTGGTCTTGTAACCTTGGGGAAATTACTTTGCCAAAACTCTCATTTTCCATCTGTAACAATGTAAATTATAACACTCAGCTTCCCACGTGGGTTAGAACGAAATGAGGTGATCTGTACAGATGCTCGAAATTCACCACACAACATGGGGTGCAAAATGGTTTTGTTATTACTGTACAAACCCCTGACAGGATTCCGGCTTCTAGGTGACTCTCTGCATCCAAAAGTCCTCTAAGACATTAAGGGCAGAACTGTTGGAAAGAAATGTGTTTCACTCAATTTTAAATCAAAGGATAACATTTTCTTAAAAGTATTTTTGCCATAAAGTCTAGAAACAAGATAACACGAATTGGCTGGATTGTAACGTAATATCAACGAGCTATATATTATTTTTTTGTTACCTTTGTTTTTCCACTTTATAGTCAACCATGGGGAGGAAATCATCCTAGAAGATGACAGTGGCCACGAGTGGGATGTTTAATTTGTAGCCGCCTTCCCGACTCTTCTGAATCACATAGAGAATCACCCAATTCAAGGACAGAAGAACTAGAAAGGCGACAAACTGTGTCAGAAGTGACTTACTATCGTGTCTTCTCAGCTAGTCAACAGCATTCTTACGCTTTCTTTCTCTGTCCACCTAGTCCCGCCTCTGCCACTGGATTCTGAAAAGCCCAAAGATACTGGTTTGAATCTAAATTAAAAAACAAAACAAAACAAAACAGGTGTTTGGGGGAAAGCAAGAGAGTAGAAATGTTAGAAGATGCAGGGAAGGAAAGCATAAGAATGTTGCTCTGGAGACTTGAAAACTTAAGACTTTTACATGAAGTCAGAAAGAATTTCTCCATTAGAGGACGGACAAATGAGCACAGCAGAGTTCTAGGTTGGTTAAACCTGCTAAGAGAAAGTTGTGCTTAAGAAGTAGGTTGACAGTTTTGGAGACAAGAGCTGGATTTCTGTTAGGGAAACTGATACCCAATTGGACTGATGGGTGTTTTCCAACCAGACAACTAGGGAAAGAGAAGAGGGGACAGAGGGAAGGAGGGAGTGGGGAGAGCGTGTTTTGTTTCACGGACATAGAGCGGCTGCTTGTGGGGAATACCCCGTGGAGACGGCTGACTCACAGGACCCGCAAGTGTGCTAGTGCAAAAGAGGGCCGTGTGCCCTGCAGTTCTTGGCACAGCCAAGAAATGAGTGATTTTCTTAATCGCTTGAAGTTGATTTCAAGATGATAGGTGCGCTTCTCACTGGGCAGAAGAAGTGAAAACCCCCCGAGGACTCCCAGGAAGTCACCCCTCCAGCTCCACCTGCCCTTTGCTCCCGGAGGACCTTCCTCTGCCACACTGGGGTCACCTGGGACGAATGACTCCTACAGTCCAAGGTTCTTGTCAAGCTCATGGATCCCACCGGGCTTTAGGGAAAATTGACTCAACTACACCGACCGAACAGCCCAGAATATCTCCTTGAGGGTGACCTCATTGATTATTGTCCCATTCCAATCAGCTTATTTGTTTTCATAGCACGCACTTTGCTAAGACAGTGAGTGCAGGAATGAGGCTTGGGTCTCGGGAGTAGAAAGGGTAGACATCGTGGGGTCAATTTTGTTGAACTGTCTTAATGCAAAAAACCCCATTCCCTACTTACTGCTTAGAAAATTCAGTCTTAATGAACTTCTTTCAGTTCCAAATTTTAACAGTTGACACAAAATACACTGTTAAACTGTGTTCTCGATAACTGTAGAAAAATAGACATGTTTGAGAGGGACATTCTAATAAAAGGTCCTTCAGGAGCAGCCTCCTTTACAGATTCAGAACTCACGTTACAAAAAAACGAGATTTGGTTCCAGTACTGTCTCCAAGTGCAGTGACAGCAAGACAGTGGGCGCCCTGTCGCAGGTGCGGAACTGCTGCGGTGCAGGTCTGGCCAGGTCTCCGATCTCTTTGCTAAAGCACAGCAAGAGGCCATCAGGCCTCGAGCTGAAAAGGCAACACGACCACAGGAAGTGTTTGTCCTTCAAGCCTTAGCAATGGGTTTAAAAAGGCCCAGTGGATTTTCAGGAGTGAACCGAACAGATGTTTTGGAGCCCCCTGCTCCTCCTCGCTTGGTGACACAGGCCAGGGCGCCCTTCCTAAGGCTGCCACAAGGTCAGGCTGCGGCAGGTGTACTGGGCACCCTCCACCTCGACTACTTCCTCCTACGGGTGCGTGGGATGGACACGTGACTCAACAGATAGATCACCGATGCCAACAAGGAAATGCGGAACACAGGAGAGGGCTACAGCCGACAGCTTGGGTTTCCGAAGAGCCAGTGCCAAAGCGGTACCCCATGCCAGGTCTCTGCAGCGGAAGAGACCCCGGATGTTCAGGGGAGGAGCCGCTCTCCTTAGCGCTGGGGCGTCCTTGTCAGCAGACAGGGTCCCTGTCTAGAGCAAAGGCCGTGCAGCCTGCGGGGACGGCGAGGGAGACTCGGAGGGACGGCCAGCTTGATCTCTGCCACCTCCGCCCAAACCGAGCACAGCTGGAGGAGCTGAAAATAGACTTGGATCCATTCAGTGAATATTCATGATGGGCCACTGTGGTAAAGAACAAACAGTTTATAAATGCAAAAATCAATGTGAAAGATCTGTCACAGTGCAAAATCTCCACCTGCCCCTGAGGTTTTGTCTAAGATTCTCTCTCTTTTCTTATTTGTTTCATTTTGAAGTTCAGATTTTCCATACAAAATACCCTTCTTCTCTTCTTTCCCTTTCCTTCCTCTTTGCACGTTAAAATGAGTTAAGGCTGCCATTTTTTTGTTTGTTTGTTCTCTTTTGATCGAAAGACACTTTGGATTTGATTTTTAAATAGTGGCACACTCTAGAATCTCTTAGACAGTCACAAAAAATGTTTATCTAATCTTTGAACACTGAACTCTGGTCACTGCAAACTAGAAAAAGAAGAAGGACAAGGAGAAGAAGAAAAAAATCCCAGTTCAAGAAATGTGGATGAACAGGCCCCTGGGGACAGGCAAGATCTCATCCTCAGAGTGCCAGGTGGGGTGAAAGCATCTGACAGGTCAGTGTATACATTCTGTTGCCTGCAACGCGCCTTCCTGAATTTCCTGGCGTTAGACCCAGACCACCTTCTGCTCACTTACCACGTCTCCTTTGAGCAGTCCGTGGTTTCTCATGTTTGGGGGTGGAACAGCTGGAGAATCAGCGGTTTTACAGAAAACTCTCCTCAACTGTTGTATGCCAAAGGGCACCAGCTCATGTGAAGAGTAGCAGTGGGACACTGGTGACCTCACCGAGTGTCCCATTCCTGGCGTTGTCTCCCAGGAAAGTCAGCGAGGCCCTCGTTATCTTTTAAAAAATGACACCCATTTTGTAAACATGTCACAGTATGTCAGCGTGTTGGTGGTGGGTCCTGCCATCTGCTAGACCTCTCAACTGCCACCAGACCTATGGCTTATTAGATTTAACAAAAGGATCAGCGAGGGACAGAGAAGTACCATAAGGACTGCCAGGCAGGGACCCAGAACAAAGGCCATGCCTTAAATAACGTGGAAAACACAGGCAACTGAAACAGAAATGCCTACTGTATGCTGGGGGTCTTTTTTTTCTAATTATTTCTAAAGTTATATATCTGAAATTACATTAAAGATACATCTATGTACATTATTTAGAAGTTCTGTTCTACAGTACTTTTGTACATGCTGGGGTTTATTTCTAATTGCCAAAAGAAAATAATTACATAAGGCATATGTATATGTACAGTAGTTTGTCTTGAGCTCACCTGGGTATTATGCCTGCTGTGCCCACGCGGGCCAGCACCTCACCTGTCATAATAAAATGTGTTGGGATCTGCACAGCGGAGGCCGGGATCTGCACAGCGGAGGCCTCGCTCTGCAACTTACTTCGTGATTAAACAGGCAGCAGAGACCTTACTTGTCACACCCCAGGTAAAAACTTCGACACGCCCTTTTGAGTGGCCTGGTATTGGACAATGCATGCAGGTAAAAGTAGTTTGATCCCTAGAAGTTAACAGTTGGTATTTGGGGAGGAGACCAAGCTTGAGCCACAAAAGCGGGCCCATTGGCATTGGACCCAATCCACTGGCTACCTCGTCAAGCTGAACAACTGAGAGAGGGCAGGTAGATATTTTACACCTTGAAGATTGGTATTCCGGTAATGTCAAAATCAAACATAAGTAAATAAAGCACGAAGTACGAGAGACAGACAAGAAAGAACATGAGAGACAAGGCAGGGCAGGCTGCGTCCGGGGCGGGAGCTGCTAGAAGGGGCTGCCCGGCAGGGCCTACACTTTGGATTCGTTCTCCAGGTTGGCCACGTCGCCATTCCTTTCCGTTTGCTCCTCGGGGCTCTTGTCCTCCTCCTCCGTCTCCAGTTCTGCGTGCTGGTTGAGTTTGCTGGACACGGACCAGCTGAGGGGCAGCTCCGCCCTGCTGGCCAGCTCGGCCAGCTCTTTGGCACTGAGGGACGGGGTGCTGGTCTCGTAGGTCTCGTGGAAGCTGTTGTAGTCCACTTCGTAGAACCCGTCCTCCAGCGTCAGCACCGGGGTGAAGCGGTAACCCCAGAGGATTTCGCTGGTGATGTAGGAGCTCCGAGCCTGGCACGTCATCCCTGCGGAGAGGAGAGCGGGGTGAGTTTGGGGGCGGACGGGGGAGCCGGCTTTGCCTGCGGCTGTGCAGACTGTGGCCGGCAGAGGGCGCGACAGAGACGGCGTCCCTCCTGCTGGGCGCATGCGC